TTTACTGGCACTAGTTAACTTCGAAACTGAGGCGGCTCGGTTCTTTTATTCATGATGCTGCTGCACATTGCCACGTTATGGCTTTTAGCCGGTATCTTGGTCTTTCAAGGTACGAATCTTATGGCGTACTATCAGTGCATAAATGTTTGGTTCTTTAGAGCATGATACGAATTTTCTGCTTCCTTTCAGTTTCAGTTAGTATAAACATCCTTGAATTTTTAGTCTGATACACAGTTTAGTGAGAGACACAGAATTTTATTTGCTCCAAAGTAATTATCATGAACTGAAATTAGTATTGTTGCTCCACATAATAAAGTTAATTTTAGTAGTATTTGATTCTGGAACTGAGGCGTGACGGTTATTGTTTATTCCCAATGTTCAAGGTATAACTTTTCGTTTTTTTTTAAAAGGTATAACTTTTATACTGTATTTTTGGGTTCATAAGAAGACAAGTTTGGCTGATTAAAGTGTGAAAATTTTCTGCTTGCGCTCAGTTTCAGTAAATAATCATCCTTGACTTCGTTGGTCTGATAGTTTTAGCAAGGTACTAACTACCAAAGCATTTAATCTGTGGAAACTAATGGTCATGAACTGAGCTTGAACACATTGCTCCACATACAGTAGTGTAGTGAAGCTGACACAGAAAATCCGGACAAGCTTCCATTGATAAATAATAAAGTATCTACCTTTGTGTACTCTAGTGATGAATGAGTGATAGGAGTAGATGGGTCCATGGAATTTGACTCCGGAACTGCAAGGCTACAAAGAGATCCCAACTTCAGCAAACTTTACAAGAACTAGACAATTGAATGCTAGAAGTAGATCTTATCTTATTAGCATTGGGCAGTAAAAGAAGCTTTATTTTTAACTCATTGCATGTTGCAAAATTCTTCCGAATCCCTCTACCTCTCCCAGAAATGCAACCTTGGCCCTCTGACAGAACTGAACCACAGATGTTTCATTTGGACTTTGGAATGTGCACGCATTTTAGAAGAATGTCACATGCACGGTTACAAACCATCTAAAGACTAAAGTTGTCTTGAAAATCTTCCATTTTGTTCAAATTGGGCTGTGCATGCATATAAATCAAGGAACAAGCTTAAGATATTACTGTTAGATTAGATCCATCCGAATTACTCTAGCTAAGCACCCAACTAATTAGCAACACGACAACAACAGCATCCTATGTCACTTGAATGATAACTAATAATGAATGCAGTGCGTCAAACGAAACCGCATTTTGCATGACAAAGGGGATGGCACGGAAGTCAAGAGAAGATAGCCTTCGTCCTCAAACTTCTCCTTTTTCAAGAAAATATCAGAAGACTCTAAATGTGAAATGTCTTTATCTGAAACAGACAAAATAAAAAGGGTGCAAACCTTAGACGTCCAAGGACAAGGTGACCACAAAGTCAGCTTCCCCTGCAATCACAGGTCTTTTATCATGAACACTTGGATGCTGATAAAAGTAAGATGGAACCTTGGATAGAGATCATTTCATCCGGTAGCAAGTCCATTCATACCAAGCATGATTTGTTGCTTGATAGCAATACTTTTTTTTTTTTGCAACGGTTATATAGAGCATATTTGATTTGAGGAAGATCCAAATGTGTAGCTCTCTGCTCTCTTATTCATGCTGTATTGTCCTGATCACCTAAAGTAACAAGATTAGTCTGCATCTTCTGAATAAAAGAAAAATGGTTGTGTTTTGCAAGTCAGTGGATGCCAACCATATGAAACAGGGGCGGTGTGCCTAATAAGGCCAAGATTTGAAGTGATTAAGATATGGACCAAACTGTCTACGACTAAGACTGTCTCCAACAATCGGACCTAAAAACGAGAGGCATACCGTGGTCTGGGTACCGCACAGTGAAGGGTCACGGACCCAAAAAATTTACCTTTTCCAACAGCCGACGCAAACGAGAAAAGCTCCCGTCGCCTCCCCTTCCTCTCTCCCTCTCCCTCTCTCTCCCGAGGTGGCGGCGCTGCGGCGGTCCCGAACGCGGCGGCCTCCCTGCGCTGCGCGTGGCTGTGGGCCCTGGCGGCGGGCGAGCCCGGCTCGGCGTGGGGCCGAGCATCGTAGGAGCGCCGCCACCGAGCGCCGCCATCCGCGACAGCCGCCGACGCCCTGTGCCCGAGCACCACCCGCGCTCGCCATCAACAGTCGCCGGAGCCGGGCACCACCAGGGCTGCTGCCAGTCGCCGAGCTCTGCTTTCCCTCTGTTCCGCTCTCTCTTCCCCGCTTTCCCTCTGTTCCGCTCTCTCTTCCCCGCTCTCTCTCTCTCTGAATCTGCTCTGCCCTCGCACTGAAGCCGAGCGCAGCTAGCAGCCGAGGGCCCGCCGCGCTGAAGCCCCTTCCTCGGCCGGCGGCGCTACGGCGAGCGCGCCCCTCCCCTGGCGCGGCGGCGCCCACCACCACGGGCGCAAGATTTTTGTGTCGTCTCTCCTCGAAGACACTTTTTTGTGTTCTTGCCGGCGTCGGACCCAAAATGGGTTCTTGATATGCGTCTTATGTTGGACCGTGATTTTGATATGCAAAAGCACTGTGCGACATCGATTTTGTGTTTGGGTCTCTTCGTCTGAGACAGTCTAACCACCCCTATCTTGTCATCCCCAGTTGCATTGGATACCACAAACGTACATGCATTTCTTTTATGCTTTGCAAATGATGTGCTCATATCTTCATTATTGCGATTTAATCTAGGATAACAGTGGTACTGTTCACAATTTGAAGTGTTTTAAAAGACATGCTGACTAGTGAATCTGTCACCTTTCAGAACAATCCCAACGATTGAGACATCACTGGGATCCTTTCACACATTGATGAATGATGAGAGTAATAGAGTAGTACTACATACTCTACACTTACATGTGACACATCGTATGTTTGACGTATGTATGGAGTATTAAATATAGACTAAAAAAATAACTAATTGCACAGATTGCGACTACTTTGCGAGACGAATTTTTTAAGCCTAATTAGTCCATGATTTGACAACGTGGTGCTGCAGTAAACATGTGCTAATGATGGATTAATTAGGCTTAATAAATTCGTCTCGTGGATTACTAAGGACTTGTGTAATTTATTTTATTATTACTATCCGAACACTCACATGTGACACCCCCATATAACACCCCTAAACTTTAGCCCCTGGATTTAAACATCACCTAGATAGTACCCCTTGTTGGTCTCTTGTACTTGAAAAGAGAAACAGTAGTGGTACTGGTACCTGTCCTGTACCATCGTTCGTTTCGCTGAAAAAACAATCCGAAATGTTGTTTCGGCTGATTTGTTGTGAGAGAGAAATACTGTTCCGGCTGAAAAAACAAGCTGAAAAAGACGGATTATAAGAGAAGCGAACAGGGCTAATATCCGAAGGAGAAATTTAAGAGATATAAATTGCACCACCAGAACAAGTATTTTTTTCAGGCTTCAGGCAGACTCACAACTCTGCTCATCGTCAGTTCAGTTGCCACCCCAGTGAAAACTCCATTCCTGCTGCATTTGACTCCTGTTGTTCTGTGCAGTAAAACATGGAAACTGGAAATGGCATGCACCCTACCGTCCATTACCATGCACTGCACCAGGGAGACACATGAGGGACAAGCTTGCAACAGTTTTCAGCCATCCCATGTGAGGTCACTGAGCAGTCACAGTAAGCATGCATGGCCTGTGTAGCCATGCAGGGGTGGTTGGTTTGATCAGTCTCAAGTCTGAACTTGTGCAGTTATTCATCTCTCTGCTCATCCATGTGTTCAAAGCCGGTTATCGACAGTGCTGTGTGTGTGAGCATGCATGCGAAGCTAGCCGCAGGCTGGCTTGGCGTTAAAGCCAGACAAACTTGCACAGAATGTGGCCACACTTGAGATCAACTTTCTGCTTTTGCAGCCTGCGGTGAAAAAAAAGGTGTGTTTGTGTTTTGTTTTCACTTGGAATCTGATGGTCCATCTGTCTGCTTAGGGTCTGTTTGTTTCCACTTCTCCTAGCCACGCTTGGATTATAATCTAAGTGAAGATTTTCTCGCTTCTCGCTTTTCGCTTCTCGTAGTTCAATTCTCTGAAGCGGCTTACCACATAAGCGAGAATCGGTGGAAATAAGCAAAGCGTTTGGCGGGATTCTCGCTTATTTCCACCGACAAGCCGCTTATAAGCGAAAACAAACGGGGCCTTAGTAAAAAGAAAAACAGTTTACCCTGTTCGCTTGCAACCTTTGAAAAATTTGGCCCAGCAACTTTTCTGCACGGCAAGCACTACTAGATGCCTGTAGAGTAGAATTATTTCAGGCTGGCTCTTTCCAGGTGCCGTGCTGGTTGCTTGTGGCTGCAGTGTTTGCTGTTGGGATTGGGAGTTGGGACTGGATGGCTTGCAAAAATGGGCAAGGTATCCCTCTCTCTTGGAACAACAGTTGCGTGCGTTGCGGACAAGGACAAGGACAAAAAGGCGTGCCCAACTTTTGGGAATTGTTGCAGACCTCCATTGACACAGGGTAGAAAGGGATTGTCTTTTTTTTTTACATTTAAAAAAAAGATTTTTTACGGTGTATCCTAGCTGTGACTCTTGGACAGATGAGCTGGGCCTGGTGGGCTCTAGGAGCACCCCCAGACCGAGTACTGCCGAGGTCAGAGCACCGATTGTCGATGCGTGGTCAGATCAAGCCCAAACCATCGTAATTCAGGCGGCGACCATGATTCACCTGATGCGCTGACGGCAACGTGATCTAAAGAAGCAGAGCCCGACCTGAAGAGCCCGCTGAACAGTTGGGCCGGTGGCCCAGGCGAATGCAGTCCGACCGGGCCAAGCCGTAAATGGGCCTATTAAGATGGTTGGTTTATTTTCGGGCCAGGCCAGTAGCGGCGGCCATCAGAACTCCGCAAAACCTCGAGTTCCTAAAACAAGCAGACTCTTTCGAACAATACGTACATACACAAGCAAAGGATCGGAACTCAGCAAAACCTGGGGCTGGTGGCGGCTGCTGAGCGAACCCTACGAGCACGGCAACAATGCAGGCTAACCTATGCAAACACGACGGAGGCGGCGGCGACGACGACAGCTACAGCGGCGGCCTCTCACTGCTGGAGGACATCATCTTGGAGGTGCTACTCAGGCTGCCGGCGAAGGCCCTGTGCCGGTTCCGGTGCGTGTGCCAGCCCTGGCGCGCCCTCATCTCCGATCCATCCTTCGTCGCCGCGCAGAGATCCCGTGCCACCGGCCCGTTCATCGTCGCCGTGTTCGGATCCACACCAGAGCACGAGCTGCGGCTGCTGGACAAGGGCGGTAACGTCCTCAGCGTGTTCGACGTCAGGGGCGGCACAGCATTGCTGGCGCCGACGCGCCTCGACCTCGTCTTCGTCGACAGGGCGGAGCTCGGTGCCATGATCATCGATCCGGCGTCCGGGCGCCACTTCACCGTCGTCGGCACGAACGATCCCCTGCCGCCCTGGTGGGCCCCGACGTCTACGTCGTCGACCGCCGTGAGTGACTACAGCTTTGGCCGTGCCGCAGCGTCCGGCGACTATAAGGTCCTCCGCCTCGTAACCTCGTCGCTCTGGGCCGGATGGCCGTAGCCAGTGGTGCGAGGTCGCCACGATCATAGAGGGCGGTGGTGCCGAGCCAACATGGGTCCGTTCGTTTCGCTGAAAAAACAAGCCGAAACATTGTTCTAGCTGATTTGTTGTGAGAGAAAAATACTGTTTCGACTGAAAAAACAAACTAAAAAAAGACGGATTATAAGATAAGCGATCAGGCCATGGGGCCCATTCTACGATGACACCTTTTCATGCGAAGACAAGGCAACCGTTGATGGCATCATCTACTTCATGCCTTACATCACTTACCCAATATCTCATGCTGGGAATCGCATAGCCGCATTCGATCTCGGGAGCGAGGAGTGGAAACCAGAGACGATCCAATGCCGGCCTTTGGAGCACAGCAAGGAGGAGGACGCATGGGACGTTGGCCTAACCGAGCTCAAGGGAACCTTGTGTGTGGTGCAAAACATACGACATCTCGGTTCTTTGGGTGGCCACTATGTCAACATATGGCTCTTGATGGATCCTAACAAGGGTATTTGGGTCAAGGAGTATAGGATACAGACGCCTGGAAGATTTTTGTTGTCTACGAAGCCATTGGATGTCTTTGGTGATGGCACCATGTTATTACTATTGAATGTGTCCTGGAAAGCAATGAATGCCAAGAGTTACTTTCTTCAGTTCTACAACTCTAGCACCGAGGATTTTACGGACTTCATGGAGATGGCACATGGCTTCAATGGTACAATGACACATTACACTGGGAGCCTCCTATCTTAACAAATAGCTGTGGAAACATATAAAGCCAATTTGGCTACGTTGCATTGATAATTCTCATTGGGCAGCCTCTAATCATACATTTTCAGAAGTAAATTTATGTTTCTTTACTGATTTATACGTTTGTCATATAAGCCAACTACCAGCAAACATGAGCTAGCTAATTTTTTTTTATTTATATTGTGTTTAGTCCAATGTTAAATCAAATAAATTTAAGGCCTATAATAAATGCTAATGAAATAAAAGACTAATATCGCATGAGAAATTTTTTTGACGGTTCTTGCATGAGAAACTGATAGGAGATTGAGTCAGCTTAAATAGATAATTGCTATGTGCACTTGCTATGAGTTTAAGAAGGGTGGAAGGCGCGTCATAATGTGAACAGGCTCAGATGGCCATGTTATGATATGAGTGGTGCAACGCCAATAAAGATTTTGTAGCTCCAAATTTAAAACGAGAAAAGTGAGAGTTTAGAACGACGGACAAAGGAATGGAAGAAGAGTGAGTGGATGAGTAGGACAGAGTGAGAGACAAAAGAAAGAATTTTTACTTTTTAGGCTTTATAATATAAGTCTACCAAATATATTAAAAAAATAAAGGAATACAAAATTGTTTTTGAATCTACATAACACACACTCAGCTACTAAGTGTGTGCAGGTCATTTAATAAAATTTAAAAAATAAAAGGAAAAGTAAATGATTGTATAGATTGATATGGGTTTCTATTCAGCGGCCCATCTAGCCCACAACAAATACCCTGACCTTTTTCTCTCTCTTGTACTTATTTTTTTATATTCCTTTTTCTCTATCCACATTTATCCCATCGCACGGTTTCACTTTCACCGCACGGTTTCTCCACGCACAGTTTCTTCTCCACCCGCCCCCCGCATCGGCGTAGGTGCTCCCGCTCCGGTCTCGGATTGTTCCCCGCGCCGGCCGCCTCGCCCCTCCCCGCGCCGGAGGTCTCGTCGCTCCTCTCTAGGACGGCATCGTCTTCCGACCTCACCCCTCCTGCGCTGGCTAGAGACCCTCTCAACGCCGACGTCCTCGCCCGGCCTCGCGCTGGCCGGTGGCCCCTCCGCGTGTCCCCGGGGCAAATCTGCCAACGGACACGGCCACCGTGTGAATCAGGGCCGGCGGCGCTACACAGCGGCAGCGCGAGCGCAGGGCTGTGCGACGGCGCTGTTGGACAGCATGGCGGCCATGCGGGCGCGGCTGCGTTGGTTGCTGAGAGGACGCAACTCCTATGGCAGCACGCTCGTGTCCCCAAGATAGATCTGCGTCCGATTTAACTGTTTTTTTCTTGTTCTATTCGGTTTATATTGCCTGATTTATTCGATTTGCACGTGATTTGGATTGCGTGTGCTGCTTTTTCGATTCGATTTAGAGCTCTTTTCGATTTGATTTGGATATATTTAGCCGATTTTTTCTTCTCATGCGGACTCCGAAGTCAATACGCAAACTAGTAAGAAAAGAAAAAAAGTGGCAGGGCAGACCAAATAAAAAAAAAAAGATATAGATTTGGTTGGAGATAGAGACGTGTTAGGACGTGCCTTTCCACCGCAATCGGAAGCAGTTTTGTATAATAAAGTGTTAGTTAGTTAGGAGGGTCAGTTCAAAGTAATGGTACAGAAAAGAAGTAGAAAATTTTGCATCTTTAATATCAGGGAGGGATAGATATGCTCGGTATTTTACAATTCATTTGAGCCAAATAAAGCAAACAGAGCTTCCTATATTTATTTTCTTAATACGTAAAAGATTTGCGTATCATTGTAATTAAGAAGAAGAGTTTAACCATATACACGACGCGCTTCTAATGAGCGTCCTAAGAGGTCTTACAGTTGTGGCTGGACTTTCCTAGTAGACTGTTTTGATATTACATAAAATTAAACAACTAAACTAAGAGCAGCGTAGTAACCTACGGAGTTAGGCGTCTCCGCTACTGGCCGCATGACCCTGCTCCGTCATCTGAGAAGAGTCTTCTATTAATCCTAGCATTGGTCATCGGAAACGGCATGTCCAGTGCTTTCACTTCGCTCGACGTCAAGTTCCTTGCGAATAAGTCGTCGTATGCTCGTTTGGACGCGGATGAGATTGGAGCTGCCAGCGGTGCAAAGCCCATCCTCCGCATGAGGAGCACCTCGCCTCGCTTGGAGGTCGGAATGTGCGCCAGCGGCCGAGCGGCAATTCATCTGCTCCGTTTTGACAGGGGTTGCATTTTGGTTGCCACCTTCTGTCTTGGTGGGCTGGCGATTAATGGCGACATTCGCCTGAGCTGCACCTCCTCAGTGAACCGTGCGAGACGCGGGGCAGCTTCGCGTGGTGTGGGCATCGCGTCGCAGGGGGTGGTGCAACCATCTACGACGCCGGGTGCTCCCGCTTGTGGTGGTGTGAGCTGTGGCGGCCCCTGCACTGGCGACATCAGAGACAAGTTCGTCCACTGAGCAGCCGTCATCGGGGAACAGGTGTCTGCCACTGGTGCTTCAACCTCCTGAGGGGCTGTCGTAGCAGGCAGACACTCAGGTGTTGCTGCTCTCAATGGCTGGCTCATAACGAGCGAGGCGGCAAGCTCCTCCAACATCGGGTCGAACGAGACGACCCATGCGGGAGGTCCCGCGCTCGCACACAATGCCAATGCCAGTGGATCAGGCTCAAGGAAGCAAAGTGTAGTAGCAGAAGAAACGGCGTTGTCGGCAAGCGCACCCCTGCTGATGTCCCTCGCCGGCTTACTCTGGCGGCGTCGGTGTCGGCAGGTGCTGTCGGCGCCCTCCATGGCCCTATGCACGGCCCCATCCAAGCTCGGTGGACCACCGTGTGGCGCCTGGGAGGCCGGAGGGTCGCCACGAGCATAGTGCCGTGGCAGGTTGGCACCCGTTGTCGCCGACTTCGTAGACCTGTGCCGCTTGCAGTCCCTGGCGAGTAGTGTAAACAGTAGACACCAAAATAATTGTAACTTCACGGTGCTTTCTGTAAAACCGCAAGCGAGCCATGGGCTTCCCCACATGGGTCGACCTGTTTCCTCCACGCTGGGCCACTTTGCACCGGGCTGGACCGATTCGGGCCAGATCAGCTCAGTTTTTTCTTTTTTAATATTTAGATTTATTGAATTATGTTTAAATCTGAGATCTTGAAAAAATCATAATAAATCTAATACAAATCGTAAATTGGCAAATCCAATTTTGTTGAACCCCACATGACCAGATTTATGCTATGGGCTTATAAAAGCACACATTTTTGCACAACTGTAATAGTAAATCTAGGGTTTACTGTGTTTATTTAATGAAGATAATTTCTGTGATTCAAATCCTGTGAAATTTTTATGGTAGGTACTATTAAAATTTATGTGGTCTAGTAAAAATTTCATGTCCATTGGATACTGTATAACAAAAGCATCAGCTACTGCATATTTCGGTAATTGAGGTAAAAAAAGATGGTAGGAGAAGGGAAAACAAGATACATATACGGACATTTAGGATTTCTGCTAACGAGCTAGCCATGATGTAAGACTCAGAGTGGACATGATGTTCCTAGCAGTGGACGCAGGGTGGAGATGGACCAGAAAAGGTGCGATCGGCCTGTTTGACTAAAAAAGTTAAAGGCTACATTATTAATTATTAATATATAGAAACGTATGCCCAAGTATGTTTGTGTAGGGGGAACCTTGATGTGAAAAATATTTGGATTCAATTGACGTTTAGGGTGGAACCTAGACGTGAAAATACGAGATCTAATTTAGGTGGAGTTTTGCTCCTAGAGCATCTCCAAGAGTTCCCAATTCAACGTCCAGTAGTCGAAATTAAGGTCTACGCAGCAATAACGATCCTCGAACGATCTTTCTATCCAATATCTTGGTAGCAGGCTTGTCTCAATGGTGAGTTTCATGGCGTAGTTACCAAAGTTGTCATGTCAACTTTTGTGTTGGCAACTGTGATAATGAGAGAAAACTCTATGAAACTTTCTCTGTCCCTCTTCATAATTTATCCTGCCAAGTAATCAAATGTGCTGATATATCATAGTATTAAATGCAAATGAAACTTGATAAAGACCCCACCGACACTGGCCTCACAAATCACCCTCATCGCCTTCAAATATTGGGTGACATCGTCTTGACATGTCACAGCTCTCTAGATTATGACTAGGTAAATTTTGCAATGAAATTCAGCACAGGGGAGTCAATGATACGACACAAGAGAGCTTGCTATTTATCAATCCCTACAACTAGTATAAATGATAACAATGTAGCCGTAAACAGGTACGCTGAAAACCCCTCCACCAGCGATCGGCGCCACCATCCGTGCAATCTGTGCCACCGGTTTCCCCCCCACGACGTCATCAACTCAATCTGTGCCTCCAGTTTTCCGCACTAATCCGCGCGATCCGTGCCTTCGGGTTTTCCGTGTCCGTGCCTTGGTTGATGCGCTTTGGGTCCGGTTCGCAAAACCAAGACACAGATGAACTCTCCAAAGTCCAAACTACGCACGGGAAAAGGCCCTGGCGGCGGCTGCTGGGCGAACCCTCCGACTCCGAGCGCAACAACAATGGCATCAAAACTACGCAAACGCGATGGCAACGGCAGCGGCGGCGGCGGCGGCCTCTCACTGCCGGAGGACATCGTCTTCGACGTGCTAGTCAGGCTGCCGGCAAAGGCCCTGTGCCGGTTCCGTTGCGTCTGCAAGGCTTGGCGCGCCCTCATCTCCGACCCGGCCTTCGTCGCCGCGCAGAGATCTCGCGCCGGCCCGCTCATCGTCGCAGTGTTCGGATCCACGACGACAGAGCAGCACGAGCTGCGGCTCCTGGACGAGGACGGCGATGTCCTCAGGGTGTTCGACGTCAGGGCCCCAGGATTGCTGGCGCCGACGCGCCTCGGCCTCATCTTCGTCGACAGGAAGTAGCTCGGTGCCACCATCATCGATCCGGCGTCCAGGCGCTTGTCCCCGGTCGTCGGCACGCCCAATCCCTATTGTGCCGGGACGACGGTGACCCTACTGAATGACTACAGCTTTG